ACACCACTTCTTTCATTAACTATGAGAAGCACAAGGCTTAGTTTACATGTATATTTCATACACACCACTTCTTTCATTAACTATGAGAAGCACAAGGCTCAGTTTACATGTGTATTTCATACACACCACTTCTTTCATTAACTATGAGAAGCACAAGGCTTAGTTTACATGTATATTTCATACACACCACTTCTTTCATTAACTATGAGAAGCACAAGGCTTAGTTTACATGTGTATTTCATACACACCACTTCTTTCATTAACTATGAGAAGCACAAGGCTTAGTTTACATGTGTATTTCCTTGAAGGAAATTATACATTAATATTTTATTGATTTTAATAACAACTTTCAGGTGTTTATGATTAAGTAAAATTTTCTATAAACATCTTAAGTGTAATGAAATAAGTCTGGCAATAACAATGTATTACAATACAACTCAGCATTGTTGGAATGACAAATACTGTATTATTTCTTCAATGTTTGTTTGTTGTTAAGCGTAAAGCTTTCCAACAGGCTACTTGTGCTTTACCCACCATCATGAGTATCGAAACCTGAATTTTAGCATCATAAGCCTGCAGACTTACCGCTGAGCCACTAGGAGGCATGTAACGTTTTTCACATGTACTAATGTATATTCACTACTCTGCTTCAAGTCCTTGTTTTTATTACATAAAAGTTCTAAGACAACACTGTTCTCAACTTGCTTGATATGTATTGACTTTAATATCATTAACCTCCCAAAGTCATGAACGTAAAAGAATCAGCAAAGGATAGTAAATTTATGATCTTTTTATGAGTATGTGCCAACTATTATTACTTAACAGATATAAAAGAAGTATACATAATATCAGAAATCTCAAACTTTTTATAAATTTCACAAGTATCGACAACACGTTCTATAGATAAATGTGAACAGTGATCTTGTATCTATTCTCTTAGGAAACTCTGAACAAACAAAAACTTACTTATCATGTTAAAGAACCTTGAAGAAAAGAACATTTAGAGACTGTCAAGGAAAGACAATCATACTACGTTAAGGATCTTTCAAGAATAAAACATATATTTACTTTCCTAATCTTCCTACTTCAATCCTCAGTCTTATTCGTTACATCTTAGTCCTTGCACACACACTCACCTATATACATAGACGAGCTCTCCTTCTTCACATGGTCATCTATATATGTTGTACCCAGTGTGAAGATAGGTGACCCTCCACAGCCTATCAGTACCTGGGAAATCATGAAGATCAAGATGTGCAACACGCTTGATGAACTTCCTTCTGAACACCTGGAGGAGGTCAGGTCAGGACCTGGATGCTGAATACCAAAGTGACTAACAAACAGAAAAATTTACCATCAAAACATTTTGTAATAATTTTTATTGCAACACATTCTACATTAAATTATCCATCACTGCATTTCGTTTATAAATAAAATTATATCCAAATAACAGATTTCCTCAAAATAGAGCATTAAAATTACATTAAAATGCTAAGGATTATTAAAACCAATCTATTAAAAGTTATTACTAAAAAAAAAGTAACAAAATTTAACTTTAAAATGCCCTTAATTAGCTAACAGTTAGGTTACACTACCAGTGTTGAAACTGTACATT